AGGAGAAAAGCCCAGAAAAAACCCTAGTTGGCCCTCCCGGGCCATTCCCCCCTGCTTCCCACTGGCGGGGGTGTTGTTTGACATTGGGGCAGCGCCCTTTACTCCCCCACCTTTGCGCGTTCGATCGATAATTCCCGTCTGTGTACCCCCCCCCCCTCCCCCCCCGCCTTCTTGCTCGGGATGGACGTGACCTTTGATGCCGGTAGTCGAACGCCTCTCGCGCTTGGTGCAACAACTCCGGCCAGGAATTGCAGGAATGCCGGGGACCTCTAGTCCTACAAGACCCGGGACATCCATAAAGAAAGTGACCCCCCCCCCCCTCTTCTGCCACCCACCAGAAACGTTGGAAAGGTCTTGGGCTAGTTAGTGGTGGAAGGTAAAGCCTCCCTCTGCGGAACGCCTTCTCTTGCTCGGTGGCGGCGTGCTCGCGAACGGCCGCTCTGCCGCCTGCCGCTGCTCAAGCTGCTGCCGGCGAATCTGGACAGCTTGCTGCTCAAGACGTTGCGCTTGGAGGGAAGGCGACAGCATAGACGTAGCGGGCTGATTCGCCGCGTGCACGGCGGCAGCACTCCTGGCTCCACCGCCGCCGAAGCCCATCCCCGGGGACACGGGCTTGAACATCCCCGGAGGGGGAACGGCAGCCGCGGACGGCAAGAACGACGACCCCTTCCTCGCACCGCCGGCACCGCCGTTGACGCCTCCGATGAAGCCGCCACCACTGCCCCCGGTGAAAGGGGAGGGAGGGGAGAAAAGCGAAGCCTTCGCCGGCACCGCCAAGACGGAAGAAGGAGAGGGGGCAACGCAGACCGAAGACGGGTGGAAGTAGCCTATGTACCCCGGTCCGCCCGCCGCCGCCGTCCCCGCTGTTGTTGTTCCCGCCAGCCTGGTAACGATCATGCCGTCGTTGCGGATGCTTTCGACGACGCCGATGCCGTGCGGCGTGTTGATGGACAGGCCCGCATATATGGGGGTCATTATCTGTTTTAAACGAGGGGGCGGGGCGGGGGGGGGGGTTCAGGGGGTCGCTGGGTGGTGTGTCGACATAACTTGATCCGGGGGGGCGTGGGGGGGTACCCATGTTTTGCATGCCTTAACGGCTAGACCATTGACCGCGCGTCATTGACCGCGCGTCCTCAAGAGGACGGAGCATTGTTCCCACAGGTCCGATTGATCGCCGATGGTCAATCGGTCCTTCCTGCTTTACCTACCGGTGGGGATTATTCTCCTGAACATCAGTCGTTTGATGCCCGACCACGAAAAATTCCCTCATCTCGTGACAGAGTTTCACCGCTAAATATTTCATTTTCAGGCTTGTTCGCGAGAGGAGGCGTGCGCGAAGCGAGAACGCCGCGCGTTGAGGACAGCGGGGTCGTCATCAGCACACGTGGAGCCCTTCCTCCCAAGCAGAATCAACCTCCCCACGCCAAGGACTGACTGCGCGAGTGAAGTGGTTCGTTTCTATCCGCGACAACACCCGACCAATTTTTGTCTTCGCGATGGAAGCGGAGAGGTGACACGCGTGCTGCTGTAGGTGCGCAAAACCTTCCGGCTTTGCACACCGGCGTGACAAGGGACCTTCCCCTACTTCCATGGAGTCCATGAGCCGCCGGATGCTGTTGTCGTCCAACTGACGCCGCCTCGCACAGGTCTTGGCGTGAAGGTCTTAAGGGGTGTGGGCGTGGTACACGCGCAATGATGGTACGCACTGACTATAATACCACGATTCAAAGCAAGCGTTCGACCCCGCTCCAATGCTGTCTCGCTTCTAGTAAATGAACACAACTTACTTCCGAGCAGCGCCAGGGTTGTCGGTGGCGGTTTGTCAGGGTCGTCGGACATGTTCATAGTAGGCGGGCATGCTGGGACGGGTAAAACCGCATACTGTACCTGGTACATTTGACGACAAGCGAACCCTGCCGAAACATACCACGCTCACTCGCTGGAACGACTTTCAAAGCGCGATTCCTGCAGCAGGAAGAATGGCGTTACCGACATTGGCGGCGTTGGAGCTGTCTCGTCGAGAGGTTTCCCGGAGATGTGTTCTTTCATTGGTCAATGATGCACCCTCTTAATCGTGGAGTAGTCGAGCTTTGAAAGTGGGTGCAGGGGGTGTGGTATCTCGTGTCACATGCTGCTGTGCGGATAGAGAGTAGTGGCGAGCAAAAAAAAAAAGATTTTGTGATCAATGATCGTATGTACGATACATGCCACCTACGCCGACTGACGACACCGGTATCAATGGAAGCGGTACTACCGCCAACACATACATCGCATCCAGAGAACAATGCTAGGGGCAGGAGGCGCCGTGGAGTCTACCCAGTCAGCCTGTGGCTAGATTCTCCGATGCCTTTGCCATGAGCCAAAAACGCTGCGGTGTGGAGGCTGGGGCGTATTTTCTGGCGCGCACCACCTTCGACTCAAATCGAATCTACACGATCAAGAGCTAACAGCGTGAGCGACACTTGTAGCAAGGGCTACCATAGAGATCCCATACACCGTCTTTTGCTGAAAACGCACCTTTCTTTGTGGTTATCCGTTGGTGGGCGTGGTGCTGCCAGCACAGCAGTGGTCCCTTCGTTGTTGATCCACAAAAACACAAATACAACACACACACACCGGCTTTTTCCCTCCGCTTGTTTCCGTCTCAGTGAAAGCTATCCTGGCTGGGAGAGCGGTAGGTTGGCGTACGAACTGGCGTTTGGGCCGGGAATGGGGAGCGGGAAGCGTTGGTGTAGATGAGTTGGTGTGGTTTCGAGAGCCGTCTGGTTCCTCCGTGATGTGGTCATGATCTTGCCGTCTTGGCTTGGAAAGGAGGGGACATTAGGAAAATGTCCCCTCACAAAAATAAAGCTTCCTTGTCTCTCTGGACGGTTTCAAAAGTATTTGATGAGATTCGACGAGAACGAATTGACCCTCTTCCATGATGACCCAAGGCTAGGAAGGTAAAGGCTCTTCCACGACTGCTCAGCCGCGACGGAGAAGGTTGTTCTGCTCGCCTAGCGTGAGTCACTACCACTGGAATAGGTTGCCCTCTATGATTTGAGGTAATCTATCAAGAGAAGCGTCGTGTACATACATACCCATCTGCTCGTTGCCTGCTGCTGTACGCCCGACGACGGACAGCCGCCCGGTGCAGGGATTACCTAAGTTACCTCCTCCGATAGAAGTCAATCCTGCCATAACAAACAAGCCGACATTTTCTCTCCTCCTGTATGCGCCACGCGCGTGACGTGACGGCTGTTCTCCTGCCCAAGACGCTACAAGTGGTGGTGCAGCCCATAGCAGGCAGCGGCCGACGACGGGGCCGGCGTAGAGCAAACTGTCGGCCAGAGTAATGCCTGCGGGGGAGGGCGGTGAAACAGCCACCCCGATGGCAGTAGATTCATCCGCACCAAACGCTGCGGCGGCCACCTCGCCAAGAGCTAGTTCTTCTGCCAAGAGCAATGGAGCTGTTCCGTCCGCGGGCGGCGGCGACGGCGGCGGCAGGTCAGTCCTTCCGTTGTCATGCAGCAGGCAGATTAGAACGACAAAGATCTGAACACTTTTTACTGCTTGTTCGGAGACGTTCTTGAAGAAAGCACTCGAACACCTACCGTAGCCTACACTACTAAGTGTTGTTTTCAGACCCTCGGTGTGATACAGCACAATAGCCCAGGTCTGAAGTCCAACGTAAACGTCTGTCTAACGTATGTCTACCCTCCACATGTTGGAAGACGTGTGAGTACCCCCGGTCTGCTGCTACCATACGTATGCATAGTATGCATAAGCAGTGAACAAGAGACAGCTTGTACTTGCTGCGCGGGCTGCTGCAACGAAAGTCTGCGAATGGCTACAAAAGAACACCAGTGGATTTGTTGTGCATGTTATGTAGACGTTTCTGCTCGAGTTTGACAAATCACCACAAGCTACAAGTCCGAGAAGAGTTCTCCCAGTGAAAGAACCGTAAACATCCAAGTAGAAGTCAAAGCTTTCTGTTCTTCTTGGCCAACCTCATACTACGTTACCAGCTGGAGGCGTGTTCATGTTGCATAACGGCATTTGAATTAGACCAACACCTCATCGCAACGATGCAGACTACCAACTTAAAGCGTGGAGATCACCTTCGTTAAGGCTACAATCTCCCAACGTCTGTCGAGGACGATTCCCTCTTTTCACAAAAGCGTACGAAGAATGTAGTTCATAGTCTGGCAGTATAGATAGACTATGCATGCAATCAAATACGAGTCCAGATTCTATTTTTTCCGAATGTCAACGCCCCCCGAAAGGCGTGGTCTGACGTCAAGAACAGATGGGGTGCATACACGCCCAACGAGCTAAACGACCTACTACGTACATGTAGGTCCTTTCCGACAAGGATTGACCAGCATACAGAGGACTGAGTTATGCTGTTCCATGAAAGTTCACGTTTCGCCGCATTGTCAGTTTCTCCTCCGTGTGAATTGGTGTCTTCTGCAGGGCACGTCGCTCGAGCTCTGTCGTGGTCTACCCCGAAAAACACGATGCCGGCAAGCCCAAAGTCTTCGCCCGTCAGTCCTTCGTCGCTTCCGGAGAGGAGGAAGAGATGGCCGACACCATCCTCCAGGCCCGCCAGCTGGGTGAGAGGGGCCGATGCTGCGGTCGATAGAGGCTACAATTGAGCTTCTGGTGGTGGTGGTGGCGACGATGCTACTGCGCTCTCTGACGTTATCGATAGGCGCAAAACAACGTTGCTGGGCGATGGAAACATTAAAACGACGACGACGACAACCACAACAACAACCACGCCGTCAACGGTAGTACTACCCTCCCCTCGTCTGAACCCTCTTCTCGTTCACGCGTTGTCGTCGTTCAGCCGGCCAGAGACGCCGGTCTACCTTCAACGCCAACAAGAAGACCGCCCGGGAGGGAGAGATCGCCCAGGTGGCGCAAAACCTGGCCGCGCGCCGGGACTCGTCTGCCGCGGCGACGGTCAATGCCGCTGCTGGTGCTACCGCCAACACTGCGACCGCAGCGGCCGGTGTTGCGGTGGGTAGAACTACCCTTGCAGCTCGTTGGTTAACCTAGACGGTCGTCCACGTACAATTTTGCCTCCTTTTGTAGCAATCAACTACTGTAAAACAACCGGGCGGCAGAAATCTACACGTTTGCGCGCGACAACAATTAGCAGTTTCCAGGTACATTTATCGTCAGCAACAACAACAGCAGCAACAGCTACCACCGCGGTCCGATAAGGCGACACCAACTTCTGTGCCGTCCGCGCGCGCCACCCCTCGCCGTGGTTTTTCCGGTCTCTCGTGCAGGTCGACCCCGCGGACGCAGATGCTGTGGCGCGACGGAGGTCTTCCGTCATGAAGCTCCCGGACAACGTGAGAACCCCTGCGAGTGTACCGAAGGTTGCAAATAGGACAACCATAACGCCTATGATGTACATTGGGGCGTTCTAGATGAACCTTTGCGGCGTTCTATTATAGTCTATATCACACACCCTTGGGACCGATTTTGGAAGTTCGACTGCTCGGCAGGAAAATCAGTGACGGTGGCGAGAATGGCGTCGTTGGAACCGTCTCGTCGAGAGCTTTCCGAAAAAGCACCCTTAGATTTAGGCCTCCTCTTTGTCGGTTCGTAGTCGAGCTTCAATAATCGGCCCAGTAGGGGGTATGATATCCCACGCAACCTACGGTAACCATGTACCACTTGCATGTTTGGTCAGCTTCTTTTTCTTCTTGTTGAAAACATTTGAGCTTAAAACAAAACTACCTTCCCTTCTCTACCCTCAGAGAGCGAATTTCTCGCGAGCCGGTTCATGATTGGAAAGTGTAATACGTGGCCGGGGGGTCGTTTGTCGTTGCCTTGGATGTTTTCTTTTTCGCAGCTGCGCGCTCTTGTGCAGCAGTCCGACGCAAGCGGGGTGCAGAAGAAGACCGAGTCGCCGTACAACCCTCAGGGCGCCAGCGACGACAAGGCTCAGACGACGACGACCGACAACACCGCCGTGAGTTTCTGCTTTACCCTTTATAGGCTGCAGCGCTTGTTGTTGTTGTTGTTGTTGTTGTTGTTGTTGTTGTTGTTGTTGTTGTATTTGTTGTTGTTGACGATGCTCACACCTATCTATACCTCGATACGTCTTGCCACAGAACAGACGATGAGTCCCCAGCATCAAAACAAGGTTACAAAACGACACTACACACGCGGCACCAGGGTTTCAACTACCGCTAGTTCTTAGGGCGCAGACGAAAACGACAACAGAGGCAGTAAGTAGTACCTCCCACCGTGGTTGTACGAGTGATCGCCCCCCCCGCGAGACCGACTTTCTTGGTTCGAGCGTTCCACAACCAAAAAGGGTGGGTGCTATCGAAAACCGACCGATAGACCCGACGAAATCTCTCGACGAGATCGTTTCCAAGAGCAACGTTGTCGGCAGCTGGCCCCCTCGTGGTTGAGGAGGAATCAAGCCATGAAAGTCTGTCCAAACCGGGTGGCGATCATTCGCACAACAATTTCGGTATTTAAGAATCCCGTGCTTCCTAGGGCGAGGTCAAGCCAGAGACAGCAGCCCCCCAGTGTTTCGTGGGCGCTATCTTCCGCGCGGAAAATGGCTCGGGCAATATTAACCACGTACGCGCCGTAGACAGCGTCCCTATCCACTGGTTTCGGGGGGTTGCGTTTCGGGTCTGAAGAAAGAGTTCGGCCTCTCTTTCTCTATTGTCCACCTGTCTGCGTCCACTCGGTTCTCTTGGTCTGAGCTTGAACAGTTTCTTCTTCCTCGAGATATTTGGCGGTTGCAACTTTCGGGACAAATTGTCACAGAGAAACGACGTCGTCTCTTCTCGGAGCAAGGACAGCGGAAGACCGCTAGGTAGGCCGTAGACCCAAGAAAAAACGCCTACTTCATATCAGCGTGGAGACAAATCGTCGGCGGCGACCAAACCGCCAGCGACTCCTACGTCACCAAACACTAACAGCACAAGCAGAGAGTATTTCTGTCCTTGTCTTGACGAAAAGTCGGTGCCTGCTCTGTGGAAGCACAAGGGTTTTTCTGTGCCCTACGCCTGGCTGCGGCATTGCACAGAAGTGGCCATGCACACCCTGTACCCCCCTCGTTTCCCTTGTTGGTAAACCCTTTCGAAAAAAGGAAAATAATTATCGACGAAACAATACAGCAACAGCAACAACAACAACAACAACTGGTCACCCCTCCCCGACCTCCGCCGCCCTTGTTTTTATTTACACCCTTTCGAAACAAAACAAACTCAACATAACCAACACCAACACCAACACCAACAACAGACGACTTCGTCCCTCAACAACACGGGAAGCTCGACCGCAAGCACCGGCAGCACCAGGGGCCGAGGTTGGCTGTCCAACGTCATGACCTTCATCCGCTGGAAAAAGGTGCCGAATAGCGACAGGAAGAGGGCATCTCGAGGAGGTGGGGGCGAGGAGGGGGGCACGCCGGGTTTGTCCCCTACCCCGGGGAAAGGGGGGCTTGGCAAGAAAAGGCGCTCCCTGCTGCCCAAGCAGCTGCCGGAGTTCGCCGGCCGCAAACAGGTTTGCTGCTGCTGCTCATTGTTGTTGTTGTTGTTGTTGTTGTTGTTGTTGCTGTTGCTGTTGTTATCGGGAGTGGGGGTGATGGTGGTGGGGGCGTTGTTGCTGTCGCCACCACCGCTGACGTCGTCGTTGTTGTTGACGGTTACGGATGACTCCAATCTCTTGCGTATTGGTGCACCCAGTGTTGTAGGCAATGAATTTCGTCGCAACAGGCCATGATGCACAACAACCGCCGTTTGGTTCGGGGGAAGCCCCCAGAGAAATATATGTCGGTATTGTTAATATCGACGGGCGTCGTGGGGGAGACTAAGATTTCCGGATTCAAAGACAGTGTGTGTGTTTGTCTGTATGTTTAGCGATCGTATCGATTGCGGTGTGTGTATGTGTTTCGCACAGGAACACCGGCAAACTGCAACACAAGGTACTGCATGTGTACGGTGGTAAACCTAGCTATCTATGTAGAATCAGCCCGCCCCGCTTAACGCCAACAACTGCACCCTAAGCGGGGGGGGTGGGGAGGGGGGGTCCCAAGAATCGCACCCAAAGCGGGGGATAGGGGGGGACATGTCCTAGACAACAACTCGACATAGATGCGCGTAACGCTAGACTCTACAATGTACACCGCATAGATAGGATGGAAGAATGCCAGCGCCACTTGACCCTCTTCGCTGCGTATCTATCTGTACCTCCCTTCTTGTTTCTGTCTCAACACGAACAACAACAACAACAACAACAACAACAACAACAACAACAACAGCTCATCCTCGACCTGGACGAAACGCTAGTCCACTCTTCGTTTAAGCCCGTGCCGGGGGCGGACTTTATCATGGACATCATGGTGGACGGCACCTTCTACAAGGTATGAAGAGCGATGGTGCCCTACGGCCTTTACCACCGCCACGGAGGGGACGTCTTTGTTAAGCCGGGATATATACATGCAAGGAATATGGACTTGAACACGTACTTTCATGTCGATACAATATGGCACGGCGGTATAGGAGCACTTCGAGGTTATGCCGCCACCTTCTCGCTCCTGTGTAAATAACGACCGTGATCACGAACGTCTTCTCAAGGAGGTACAAACAGCCTGGCCTTTTTCTGCACCCGTTGTCTCGCAAACAGTCCACAAGAATAAAGGGCGGTGTTGAACGCGGAAATGTGAAATCTGGACAACTCCTGTACCGTTGGTGTTGCTGTTCTTGTTGTCTCACATTAAAAACCGTTCCGATCTCTCTACCCGGTACCCCCACCCGTCCGTGCTGATCTAACACTTGAGCCGTCGACTCCCGTGGTCACGGGCTAACTTACCCTAACAAGGGGAAACGAATGACGAAAACCGCTGCTGCTGCTACTGCTGCTGCTGCTGCTGCTGCTGCTGCTGCTGCTGCTGCTGCTGCTGCTGCTGCTGCTGCTGCTGCTGCTGCTGCAGGTGTTTGTCCTCAAGAGGCCCGGGGTGGATGCGTTCCTCGAGCGCGTGGCGAAGCTATACGAGGTCATCATCTTCACGGCGAGCCTGCCGCAGTACGCAAATCCTCTCCTAGACGTGGTGAGCAATCAATCGCGATTTGGACGCGAGTTCCGTTCGCTGCCATGTTCTTTCCCCCGGGCAATATGTAAGTCCCGGGGATCGATGATTGGGCGGGTTGCAATCCTTTGCTGTTCTAAGGATACCCGATGCTGTTCCGTGGGGGTGGGGATGGGGGTAAGCTGGGGGGAGTGTTGGCTTTATCTGGCATCGGTCTCACTCCCTGATCGACCAATGGCCCAACGGCAACTTGCCATTCTTCGCCGGGTGAAAGGGGCAACGCCACCTGCGTTTGTTCTGTTTTCCAACATCGACTACGTTGAATGTGTTATTAATTTGTGTCTGTCTGTCTGCCTGTCTGTCTGTCTGTGCCTGTCCTCATTCCCCGCCTCTCTCTCTGTCTGTTTCTCTCTTGCTTTTCAGCTGGATCCGAAGGGTACGATCACATCGAGGCTCTTCCGAGAGCACTGCACCTTCCACGAAGGCTACTTCGTCAAGGTGAGCCATGGGAGAGGAAGGAACAGAAAAGACGAAAAGCTAATAACGTACTCGCAACCGACAGTCAGTTTGACCACCCTGAAATAAGACTACGACCGTCTTCTTCCTGCGGCGTTTGTCCTGCACATTTCCGTTTCGTTGAACGCCGCCAATCAGACGTGTTTGCACCTGAAACCGTCGAAAGAAGTGTCGACCACGCGCGAGGCGCGATCTTCTTGCATTTCTCGCACCGAGTATTAAACCTACCCCTCACTTTGATGCCAATAAGTGCCAAGCCTGTGAACCGTGTGCGCGAGCTACTCAAGTTTCAACTTTCCACGTTGCGTCAATTTACAAGTCCCGTAAATGTTTCTTTACGAGGGTGGACTAGATCCCCGTGGGTTAACCCTGGCCTGAACGATATTGCGTCCCCAACATCAAAACAAAACACACACACACACACACACACGATAAGGGCAAAATCAAGATTGCTTCTTTCCGATATTGGTATCCCACAACCTACGGTATATTCCACGAATGCAAAGACGAAGGTGGAGCAGGCTTGACCCTTGAAGAGTTCGAGACATGACATGACTAAATACCGTATATGACACAAGATAACACACCCCCTGGACCGATTTTCAAAGCTCGATTACTCCACGACGAAGAGGATGCATAAATGAAACAATACGTTTTCGAACAGCTCTCGACGAGACGGTTCCAACGCCGCCGTTTTCGGCGCTGTGACTCTTCCTGCTGTTGAGAAATCGAGCTTTGAAAATCGGCTAAGGGGGTGTGTTATCTTGTGTCATATACGGTACGTGTGTTGCGATGTATACGTGCTCCTTGCTCTTTTCTCGTCACTCCCTTGTGCTCGTTTCTCCTTGGTCCTGGCTCCCTTTTCATTGGCCGGCGCTGCCCCCGTGATTCGCCTGCCCCTCCCGCAACTAACTCTCGGTGTTCTCAACGCGATCTGTGGGCAGGACCTAACCCTGCTCCGTCACCAGTCGCTGGAGTCAACAATCATCGTCGACAACTCTCCGATGGCCTACATGTTCCAGCCGGAGAACGCCATTGACTGTATCAGGTGCCAATAAGTGTGCAATGAGCTAGAATATACGCTTGTCTTGCTATATCATCCCTCCCCCAACAACACTTGTGTGAAGCGTTATTAGGGGCAAACATCGGAAAAATTGGCCTGGGGAGGGACAGGAGGATACTCTTGGATATCTTCTAAGCCGATAGGACGTGGACAACGTGTCGCCCCCCCAGTAGAAAGCGGAGCGCCGTTCATACTCTTCACAGCAACTCCTCAGACACTGTCGGGTGCTAATTGACGACCCGGTCGTTCGTTGTCGACACAGCTAAGCTCGACATCACCATATTTTTCATACCTAGCAAAAGGGGGGGCGGGAGGAGGGAGGGTGTAAGCCCCACTCCAGTATCCCGGCTGAAAGTAGCGATGACACTTTTTGTCAGACCATTGCGTGTTCACGCTCGCCCATTTTTGTTTGCTTGTTGCTCTTGTTGATACTGCTGCCTGTGCCTTGTTCTGCTTTCGTTTTTTCGCTGTGAACGGTCAAACAGCTGGATCGACGACAGGGAGGACACGGAACTGGACGTGATTGCCTCTTTCCTGGAGACCATCGTCGATGTCCCGGTAATTTTTCAATTTTGTTCTCTTCGCCGGGCCGCTTGCACACACACGTGTGCGTGCAGTTCTGCCCCCACCCACACCCACAGCCCTTAACCCCGCGCCCCCACGCGCGCCCACACCCCCCTATCGCGTTGCCTAGATTGTCGAACAGGATAGTTCCGATCCCTTGGATCAACAGTTACAAAGGGAAGAACACGCAATGACGCTTTGACTATTCCTTGTTCTCGGTTGTTCTGGTAGAGGCTGTTCTCGGGGTTCTCCTGCTGCAAGATAGCAGTGCCCCTTTTTTTGGTGGCCACTGCCGTCCCCTGCAGGACCGACATACGTTGTTGTGATCTGTTCAAAGTTTCCCCCTTTTTTCCACTGCGCGTTGCTTACTCCCAGAAGGACTTGCTCAGAGGGCAAGAACAGAACTAAAAAAAGCGTACAACAGTTACCCACCATCCTGTCTGGTGCCACATACCCGTTCTTGTATTAACGGGAAAACTGCCTGACTTGTTGATGATGGATGTACAGGATGTCCGCGACCTCTTAGAGTTCTGGCGAGAGGGAGCCGCCGTTCTGGACAACATTTCCTCCTGAATGATCTGAAACTAAAAGTGGCTCATATACTGATCGATCTGCTGCGGGATTATGGAGAAAATTTGTACCGAAATCTTTTGTGGATGGGCGCAACTGGAATGTAAACAACCCCCCGGCAGGACCTGTCACCTTTTGTGGCGTTGCTCCACGTAGAGTTACGAAGAAAGGGTTCAGGGGCATCAGGCCGCGAGGCAGACACAAAAATGTGTACCATAGCACCACGCAGGGGAGGTGCAAGGAGGGGGGATGCCATTAAGGGGGCCGCGGAGTACCTCGCATCTCTTGATCGGAAGACGAGAAAGCCCCCTACGGTTGAACCACCTCCGTCAGCAGCAGTGCTATTCGGTACCAGTCAGTGGGCTCAAGCTGGAGTACACACAGCAGTGGGTGGTCATGATGTAGAGAGTTATTTGGGTCCTGCGGAATTTCTCCGTGTTTTTCTTCGCGGGGAGAAAGGAAAGTGCTCCCGTATCCACTGTGAAAGTACACCAAGAAACATGCAAAACATTTATAATATCCAGCGAGAAGCGCGATGTAGAGGAGCAGCAGCCCGGGGGCTTTTGCTGCGGTTGTCCTCCGAAAAAAATCGCCTACCTCTGTCCAGGGTGCCCGAGTTGACTTTACACTAGGTTATCTCTCTTGAAAGGCTTGGTAACAACGTTTGTGTAGACTCGAGGTGAAAAATTGAACGTCGGGGTTGCAGACATAGGCACGGGTACTCTATAGCTTTGGTTGGTTGTCTGACAGGTATAAAAATGTACTCTAGGTGTAGGCCTGGGAGTGCGGGGGGAAGGCCGAGCGGCCAATACACTTGCGTTGCTTGAAAACTTGTCTAGCGAGGCGTGTGCATCATGCCACCCAATTGTAGAATAGATGGGGTGACGAGCGAGATATATTTTCTCCAGTTCATCGGAGGCCAACAACAAGCAAACAAAAAGTAGAACGGAAGTGCTTGTCTGTTCGAGGAAAAACACCACCAGAGGCCAGAGAATCCTCCCGTTTTTCTAGTGGTTTGCCAGCCTCAGGAGCTGCCAAAACAAAGGGCGGGCGGCAGCCAGAGGTTTCGTACTTGATGCCCAGATTTTGCTGCTTGTAGGCATGGGTCTCTGCCGCATGAACCCGTCCATGGTTTCCCGCTTCCCTCTCAGAAACCATCATTGCGAGAGTCCACGCAGCTTCGTTCGATTTCGTTGGTACGTGCTTGCCAACTCAAAACATCAAGCGAAGACGGCGGTTCAGTTTCAAACCCACAGTCGCATTAGACTCGGCGATTTGCAGAAATCAAGTTGGGAGCGATGTCTACCGGAAGCCCCGGCGACCAATGTCTGGAAACTGCGAGCGTCGTCCCTCAAAAGACCGACGACCCAATTACGCCATTTCTTTTTTCTGCCTCACCTAAGCTGAAAGACTTGTTCATTTTTCGGACTCCGGACCAACTACATCTCGATTCGGCGACAAGCAGGGCGGACCTACTTTTTCAAGTCAAACTACGCGCGATAGTCACATAGGGATGGGAGCTTGCAACCAAGCTCTTGGGTTGCAGTTTTACACGACACACTCGCCCATTCACAGTCTGACACAGACAAAAGCAGCCTTTCTTTGTAGGTCAAACGCAGATGGCAAAATCACAACTAGCCCATGCTCCTCCAAGGCAGGTGACATCCGAGCCCAGCCACGACGCCCCCGCGAGCGACGGCATCAGCTCATGTCCATGCTGTCCTCCGGAACCTTTATCAACATCCCCTCCAGGTCTCTAGTGACCTTGATCTGGCATCCCAGTCGCGATCTGGAAAAAACGAGAGCAAGAAAGAGCAACGACGGCAACAACGACGACGACGACAGCAACAGGCCGGCAGCGTAAAGAAACGGCGGGAAAAACACACACACAGAGAGTGAGCGTGTTCGCGTTTTTATCCCGCTGCACGACTGATGTATTTTTCTTCGGCCAGCCGGCTAGCGCGGTCGACACTAGCTGAAAAGAGGAAGAGGAAGACACGAGGGTCTACACAGGACGATCGAGCGCAAGGAAATAAACGGGGACAAGGGTGTAGCGGGGGGTACTGCCCCACCCTGTTAACCCATGCAGAAATTGGGCGGGAAAGTAGATTGGGGTTTGGGTTACTCAGCTTGGTAGCTGATGACCCTTGTCTCTGGGGGCGTATTGCTGCAAAAGAGGCTCAAAACCGTACGCATCGCATTTACCACGGTATGAAACAACACAACGGCCGTAGCAGCGATAGCACAGATTGTTGATGGCACAACAAGAGCAGCTAGCAGCAGCAGCAGCAGCAGGAACAGCAGCAGGAACAGCAACAACGACAGCGACAGCAACCAACAGAGAATTGCTTCTTGTGAACTCACGTATCGGTTAACCCCCACGCCAGGTCCAGCATGTCATCCTCCTCCTCCTCCTTCTCGTCGAGCTTGTCGTAGTACTCCTTGGGTAGCACCACGTGGCACGTAGAGCAGGCAAGGTCCCCTCCACAGGCACCTGTATTCGAACCCGTGGAGCTGCGGCGTTTAGTATCGACCTGCTGTAACTGTCGCCCTTGCAAGCCGTGCTGCTTCTGCTGTTGCCGCAGCCGCAAGATAGCTGTTGCCATTCTCGTCGTTTTGTTTCGTCAAGATTACCACCGAGCGGTCTAGAGACCCACAGATTCCGCTTGTATTTTAAGCGGCAATTGGGCCCTGTCGCAACAAGAAGACAAGAATCGCCGACTGCGATTCCGAGATATTGGAGATGGCGGAGATCTGAAACATAAACATCCCGCGTCAGCGCGGAGGGCCTTTCGAAACATTTCGCAGCCAGCGCCGGCGACTTTAAACGCAGCTCTGGAAAACAACTCTACCCGGCTTCGATAAAAGCAGCATGAAACTGGTGTGTTGCTGTCGCTACGTCAGCTACGTCATACAAGTACGTTACATCGAAGTCCATCAGGCCCGATCGCCACCAGACAACGCAAGAAGGCCAACATCGGATCGGTGCACGAACGCACAAGTTTTCAATTGGTCGGTAACATGGCCGCCTGTATATTCACAACTATTGGGCGCACACAGCACAATAGGAAACCCCACCTTCCAACTCGACGTCGTTTTCGTGAGCCACTTCCAGCAGGGTTGCACCAAGCTCGGCCTCGACCTTGATCTCCGTGCCATCGTCCTCCAGGAATGTCATGTTCACCTTGTCTTTTCGAGCGGCTGGAAATCGATTTGGCGAGGGGACACAGGCACAAACAAACAAACCATTATTGATGCAGGCAAGAAGGATTGCGAAGTGGCTGTCGGTGGTTCATTGGGAGGGACATGGACAAGGGAGAGCTATGTAGTTGCGTGGCAGCACAATGCTCTGCTGCAAACTACGCATAGGCTGAACATCACACTTCGAGACTACTGCTGCTCGAAAATACATCGATCGCACAGCAGTGGCGGGCGTCAGTGGATATCCTCGGTGGTCCCTAGACTTCAAGTGTGCTGATCATGACATTAACAGCAGCAGCAACACTTTACAGCGACAGCAGCAACAGCTCGCCCTGGACACTGGGCACACCTGTGCTGGAGATTCCCCGGCGATACGTACGCGGCGGAACTAACGCCATTGTTCTGACGGTGTACGTTTCTGCCGCAAGCCTCGCCGCAGCTGATCGGTCAGCACCAACAGAACGCGGCAGCCCCTTCCCCGACCCCACTTTTCGCCATCTTGCCCCGGCGTTTGAGGACAACCTTCTTACTAAGAGCGCCATTCGGGTGCTGGATGTACGGCACAGCCAGCTGTTGTGTGCGTGACTAGCTCCTGCTGTGGGCTCCTAGTGCGGGGGGCACGCAGATTGATATTGTTCCGGATACCCCACCACGGACGCTCAAGGCAGTCAAGGACGCTGGCTCTGTCTGTCTTGGTCTGCACATCCGCCCGCCGTCTACATCAACTTCAGTTTCTGACTTCTCGGAGAGGGTCAAGCAATGCAGCCATCACTTTTGTCTCTGCCATCGTCTCCGGTGGATCCTCTGGACTGGGAGAGGGTAATCGGCCCGTCGTGCTGCGTGTGCGGGCAAGCGTACATTCCAGCAGCCGAGGTCGACGACGAGCACATCATCGGCGGCGGAGGCGGCGGCGGCGGCGGCAACGGCAGGAAGCACAGCAGCCCTTCTTCGCGACAACGAGGCGGCGGTGGGGCAAGGAACGGGGAGGAGAGCTACGTGGTGCTGCCGGACTCGAAGCCCGTGCTCTCTGAGGACTACTTCACCCTTGCTCGAAATCAACACCATGCCGCCGGCGGTGTCGCCGCCGCTGTGGCATCATCGTCTCTAGCCGAGGGCGCGAGACTAGCCGGCGCTCGGTCGCAGCAGGCGTCCGGCCCTGGCATCGGGAGAAGCGTCGGCGGTGGTTCATCGCTGCCCCCGGGGTCCGAGCTCCTCGAATCCGGGTTCTCCGCGTACGGCGGCTCGGTAGCAGGGTTCGGAGGCGGATGGACGGGGTCGGGATTCGGGGCGGGGTCGTCCATGCTCGAGAGCATCGTCCAGATCTCCCACGCGGGGCTCAGCGACAACGTCCGGCGGGAGTCCCTGCTGTACGACATGTCCCAGAGGCCCGCGCGACGGTTTCGGGCTGGAGAGCAGAAGCTTCCAGCTAGCAAGGATGGCGCTTCCGCGGCCGAAGTCGACGGCGGTGATGATGAAAGAGGCGGCCGTTTGTCCCAGCGGCAACGGGCGGACAGCGAAGGAGCAGAGGGGCAGGAGGAGTCCGACGACCCGACGCTCTGCTGCCACTGCTACGCGTCGCTGCTGGAGCAGATAGACGAGGACAGCCGCCTCGCCGACCGGGAGGCCCTGGCGTACCGGGACTTCGTCGAGGTCCTCAGCGGCATCATCGTCTCGCAAGATAACGGCCTCGAGTCGGCGGGGCCCACCGCTCCCGGCAGAAGAAGAAAGGCTGAAGGCTTCCCAGCAGCAGCAGCAGCAGCACATCGCTCTCCTCCCGCTACTACACTACCAGGAGAAGGCTCGGCGGACTCGATGCGGCGCGAGGGTTCCGACAGACAGGAACACGCGAGGAAGGAACAGTGGCGGAGCCTGAGCAGCGGAACTAGCCCCGCGTCCTCCTCCGCGTTAGCTTCTTCTCCGGGTACCGTCAGCGTGCAGCAGCAGCAGCAGCAGCAGCAGCAGCAGCAGCAACAACAGGACGAAGACGATGATGGAAGCGCAGCTGGGCCGGCGGCGTCGCCGTTCGCGCAGGCGCTGCGGATGGCCCAGGAGACGAGCGTGCTGCTGAGGAGGGAGCTGAGGTCCCTGGAGACGCAGAGGGGGGCGCTCTGCGCGCGGGGGTCCGAGGCGTGGGCGGCGCTGTCGGAGCTGGCGTACGCGCGGGGCGTGCTCGGGGACGAGTGCAGGGAGCTGTTGCAGGCCTCCAGAGAGGTGTGTATGCTTGTGTCTTTGTTATTAGCATCGATCGCGCTGATCGGGTGACCAATGAAAAGACGTCAGTCTCAGTGCGGTTGAAAACACAAAACACTTCTAAATGCCATTAACTGGGACCCCGTGGGTGGGGGGGCAGGCGAAGACTTATCTATTCTCCCGGATCAAAGACAGACGGTGTGTGTGTGTTTGTCCTTGTTATTTGCATCAAAACCGTGCCTACCGACTGACCAATGAAATGACATGTCAGGCTTACAACGGGAAAAAAACACGAACACGCTCTCTGACTAAAGAAGGGTTTGACCAACAGCGGGGACGCAGGAGTTGGACGACCGTGTGCTTGTGTCTTTGTTACTTTGCATCGACCGCGGCTACCGGCTGACGAACGAACAAACGTCAGTCTCAGCGGCTACGAATCGAAGTGATTCGCTTGTTGCGAAAAGCGCGCGAGGGATGAAAACGAGGGGGCACTGCTGTCCGCCCCCTGCTTTCCCAGCGCGTGAGGAACTAAAACATGCTTTTGTCCGCGATTCCCACCCACAGACAAACCCTCATGGTCCTCACTCCGTTCTCAATGCCAAATAGATAACACGCGCGGTTGCTGCCAGGTGGCTGAAAACGCGGCGCATCTGTCGGAGCGATCGGCCCTCAGCAAGCTGTTCTCGATCCGGCACGTGGACGGGTTTCCGTCGATAAACGGTTTCCGGCTGGGTAGAGCTCCCGACGACAAGCGGCGGCTGCACTGGAACGAGATCAACGCGGCGTGGGGAGAGGTGAGCGGCGGCCCCTATCGACTACCTTACACCCCTGAGTCAAAGGTGTGGGTCGGTGTAGTAGGATGTGTGTACAGTAAGCAGCCTGATTAGTGGTGACTTCAAAAGAACTACTGTCGAGATAGTGGCACCAAATCTCCTCACACAATCTCATCATGTACATGAACCCGATAGACTACATCGAATAGTGGCACTGCCCTGAAAAGTGGCATATTCTCCTCTTGCCCTGTACATGTCTACTGTGCGATATAGTCTATCGGGTTCATGCACATGTTGAGATTGTGACAAGAGATTTTGTACCACTATCTCGGCAGTTCCACTTTTCAAGTTGCCACTGTCGGGCTGCTTACTGTAGTAGAACGAGAACAACGGCCTCGACATACGGCATTTCTATGCATACATGGTTGGACCCGCAAGAGAGTGCGGAAACACACACGTAAAGGAGGACGGGGCGGGCACATGCCGGGGGGGTACCGTGGGGCTTCACGGAATCAATATGCGGTTTGGCCACGCTCGCAACAGTGACACTGCTCTTCGTGTTCGCACGAACAGCCTGCCCATTTGGATGCCACAAGACATTGATTTGGTGGCGATGCAGTCGGAGGCCGTTGCTTTCTCCTTCTGATGGGGGTCTTGGGGGTAGTGTTCATTGTTGTAGCAAGAGGCAACGACAGCCAGAAAATAGAAATTGGAGACTCAATCTATTTAGTCGTTGCCACGAGAGCGACAACAGCCGTACAGGCCAGAAGCGGTGTGTCGCCGGGCAACGCTGGGGTTTCAACGTGCCCACCACACACCATTTGTGCGAATGCCTCAGCCGTGTCTCAGATCCTGCCCCCCCCCCCCCCCCTGT